GAGCAGAAGGAGAGAGAGCACGAGCAAGGAACTCAGGACCGTGAGGGGTGCACCCACACACTGAGACAATGGGGATGTTCTATCGGCAACCCACTAAGGCCAGCTGGCCTGGGTCTGAAAAAGCATGGGATAAAACCGGACTCGCTGAACATAGAGGACAATGAGGACTACTGAGAACTCAAGAACAATGGCAATGGGTTTTTGATCCTACTGCATGTACTGGCTTTGTGGGAGCCTAGGCAGTTTGGATGCTCACCTTACTAGACCTGGATGGAGGTGGGTGGTCCTTGGACTTCCCACAGGTCAGGGAACCCTGATTGCTCTTCGAGCTGATGAGGGAGGGGGACTTGATCAGGGGAGGGGGAGGGAAATGGGATGCGGTGGTGGGGAAGAGGCAGAAATCTTTAATAAATAAATAAATAAATTAATTAATTAAAAAAAAACTCACCCCAAATGATACACTTCCTTCAACAAGGCTCTATCTCCTAATCCTTCTAATCCTTTCAAGTAGTGTGAAGGCATAAGTCACAAACAATGCCACACCAGTTTGGAATTATGATTAATAGAGTGGTATTTATTTAAAGGGGAAAAATCTTACAGATCACCGTCCCAAACAACAGCCCTCTGTGCAACCAGGAAGGGAGTCTAGTCACAGGCGGAGCAGGAAGTGAAGAGAGAGAGGAGAGGGAAGTGGCCGCTTTTTTAAAGGGAGAGAGACCACGCCCCAATGGGCTGGTATCTCAGCGGCTATAGGCTGGAGGAGCGGATGGACCTCCCGCAACACCAGTGCCACTCCCTGGTGACTCAGCATTCAAATATATGAGCCAAGGGGGCCATTATTAATCAAACCACCCCATATCTTTCTCAGGATAATGAAAACACTGTCTGTCTGTCTGTCTGTCTGTCTCTCTCTCTCCTTTATCACGAGCAGGTATTTATTAGACTATCTGATCTGTTAACACATGTTCTATATCTCTTGCTCATTAATAAGTTTTCACATGAATTAATAACTGAATGTTTTCTGTGGGTCTGCTGTTTTGTTAGATTGACATTCCATTGTGGATGGATACCTCTGCCAGTTCTCAATATTTGCATTCAGCAGGTGGCTATTTGATATAATTGTCATGATGCTCCTGCTGAAGTCATTATTGAAAAGGGAAGAAGTAGAAAATTAGTTTGCACAACTCTTAGTGTGGTAGCATACACAGAAACATTGATTCTTTTTTTTTTTTTAAGGAAACTTTCAGAAATCAGTATGTCTGAAGAAAGTGAGCCCACTGCCAACCTTTATCACTGTACAGCCTGATGTCAGAAAAGGGGGGACAGCCTTCATCACTAGTACAGTCTGATGTCAGAAAGGGGGACACAATCTCATCACTGGTACAGTCTGATGTCAGAAAGGGGGACACAATCTCATCACTGGTACAGTCTGATGTCAGAAAGGGGGACACAATCTCATCACTGATACAGTCTGATGTCAGAAAGGGGGACACAATCTCATCACTGATTCAGTCTGATGTCAGAAAGGGGGACACAATCTCATCACTGATACAGTCTGCTGTCAGAAAGGGGGACACAATCTCATCACTGGTACAGTCTGATGTCAGAAAGGGGGACACAATCTCACCACTGGTACAGTCTGATGTCAGAAAGGGGGACACAATCTCACCACTGGTACAGTCTGATGTCAGAAAGGGGGCACGACCATTTGAACACCAGTTCTTTCCTAGTGTACCTCTTCTGAAGAGGGCTCAGAAGTGATGAGGAATTTTGACACATTCATACTGCATATCTTATTTAACAGTGTCAGACATTTTAAATTTTAAATTCAAGACAGTCTCTTTCTCTATTACAATATATCTCTAATTTATATTAGATAAAGTTCCATGTCTCTGTACTTATCTCTCTAAATTATTGTAGCAATTCCATAATATTTAGAATTGCAGATTAATAATATAAACAACTATTTCAAAGCACATCACAAACTCCTCAAAATGGATTTACAGAAACTGGAATTACCTGTTCTGAATGTTTTATGTGATATGCATTGTAGACAGCCATAGCCCTTACGTCATGCTTTCCTCAACAATTTTTCTATGGAAAAGACATTTCAATATACTTTATAATTTTGTTTTTAACAACGTATTATCCACATAGAATACAATACAGAAATGTTGTGAAAGTCTCTTTTCTCTGTAACTTTACCCTTATTGGTAAACAAAAAAAGGGAGGGGGCATTAAACTTAACCTACTTGGTACCTGCTATGGCTAATACAATTTTGAACCACCCCACTAACCGCTTCCCAAGTTGGTATCCATACTATGCAAATTGTGATTCATTTTGGTTTGGAAAATTAGAGGGTCTTTTCCTCCAATGAAATCTAACAGAATAGAAAGAGTTATGCTGCTGCTGCTGCTGCTGCTGCTGCTGCTGTTGTTGTTGTTGTTTACCTTGAGTTAGATCTCAAGCTACCAATATCTCTGATCCTAGATGCTATGCATTTACTGAGGGGTGCTCCCAACCCCTTCCTTGAAGGCTCACCCGTTCCCACTCCCATGGCTTTAGAGTTTCTCCGCTCTGCCCAGCCACTTCACCAAGATGGCCCCATGTGAGGCTTAGTGACTAGGGAGATGGCCACGGGAATGCAGCAGTCTACTCAGCGCTCCCAGACTGTGTCACACTTGGGGCTTGGCTGGTCTTGTTACATTATGCTTCGTGTGAAAACCACAACTCCCTGGATATTTCCTGAGACCTTAGCCATGTTTTCTGTGTCTCCTTATACGAGGTGAAGATCTTCCTAAAGCCTCACGGTTGGGGTAGATGGATGCAGAAATGAGACCCGGGCTTGTCACCCTCTGCGTCTCAGGGTCCTTCCTCAAAAGCACAGGAGCGAGCAAAAGAAAAGTGGGGGAAGGCTGGGGAAGCAGGGGTACAGAAGGGACTTTCCCACCGCTTTTCTAATCCTCAGCTCCAAAGGCCTGTCAATATTTCAACATTTTAGATATAAAACTTGCTTTTGCAATCAATGCAAATATTGCCCAGTGATTCATCCTTTCCAAATGACTCTCGGGTTCTTTTGACATTTTATTTTAAAAGTATGAATTAGCATTGACATCACCCTAGAGTTGCTATTACCTCTCAATGCTTCAGTAATCGCCAAGGCTTTATAAATCAAGACTCTAAACCATCCAAGTGTTCTTGGGCTTCCAGGGTGGTTTATAGAATTGCGTCTTTAGGCACACATATTCTAGAAGTCTCAGGAGAGGGATGTTACTGAAGGCAAACTGGCGGCTTGTGGAGTGTGTAGTGGCAGGATCTTCATCAGGGCTTTGTCTGCACTGTGGACCAGGAGGATACCCTTCTGTCTGTTAAGTCAAGTGAAGTTGTCTTCCAAGTTGGAGTGAGACCTGCTTTAAGTCCCCATACTCAAAGGTATACAAAACCATCCAAGTTTTAAAAAATAATCTTTATAATTTTTAAGATTATAGTAAAATTACAACAACCCCTCTTCACTTTCCTCAGAGTTCTTCCATGTACCTCCCTTGGTCTCTTTCAAAAATTCATGACCTCTTTCTTTTTAAAAAAAAAATATTTATTTATTATGTATACAATATTCTGTCTGTGTGTATGCCTGCAGGCCAGAAGAGGGCACAAGACCCCATTACAGATGGTTATGAGCCACTATGTGGTTGCTGGGAATTGAACTCAGGACCTTTGGAAGAGCAGACAATGCTCTTAACCTCTGAGCCATCTCTCCAGCCCCCATGACCTCTTTCTTAATTGTTGTTAAATATATATATTTTCTCCTAAGTCCATAAATACCATCTGCTCCATCTGTATAATGGTTCTTAGATGTATGTTTTCATTGGTATTGAATAACCAGTCAGCGTGCACTTTCCTGGGCAAGCCCATGTCTCCTGCCCTCGGCATTCTGCCTGTAGTTCTTACTCTCGGGCTGAGGCCTCCCAAGTGACCTCACCTTCATGCTAGCTTGTCTATTGGTGTCATCCTTGTTCAGATATGCACATAATCAGTGCCATGAAGGTACTGGATGGGCTTGACAGTTTATTAAGGCAGTAGTGTCAGCTCCACCATGGATTGTCAGGAAAGAACACCCAGGTTGATGGAAAGCCTGGGGTTAGAAGGATGATGTAAAACTCTGGGCATTTAGAGTCAGTGGTATGAGCCCTGTATTGTATTCAGAGTGACTTGTTCTTACTAGTGTTCCAGTAATTAGACCGTGTACTGTATTTGTAATGCAGATATCCGCTTACAAAAGCACATGTAGAATGGTATGGCGTAGATATATGCTCACACACACATAAAGTCCAGGTTTACCAACACATTTTATCCTGGAGGCTTTGTTCTACAAATGGGTTCTCATTAGCTAAATTATTCAGTGCTCAGTGTTTTACCCTTTCAAAAGTCCACCCCATCCAAAATGCAAAAACAGAGGCCACGGTGAATTTATTTAGTATCCAAAGCGGCAGAACCCTGGTATTTTGAATGACTTAATATCCCTTTGTTTTAACTACTTACTTGAATAGATATATATTTAGTTGCAGCTGCTTGGACTTTATTTTTTAAGACAGAGTCTTGAGCCGGGTGGTGGTGGTGCACGCCTTTAATCCCAGTACTCAGGTGGCTGTGGCAGGTGGATCTCCATGAGTTTGAGGCCATTCGATCTACAAGAGCTAGTTCCAGGCCAGGCTCCAAAGCTACAGAGAAACCCTGTCTCAAAACACACACACACACACACACACACACACACACACACACACACACACAAAATTAAAAAAATAAAAACAAAAACAAAAACTCTACCATAGAAAGATCTACTTGCCTCTGCCTCCCAAATGCTGAGACTAAAGGCATGTGCCACTATACCTAACAATTGTTTTCTTTTTAAATATGTATATATTTATGTATGCATAAATATATTTAAATTATGTGCTTGTGTGTGTGCCTGCATAAATTTATGTGTACTATATGTGTGCAGGTACCTTCAGAGGTCAGAAGAGGGTGTCAGATTCCTTGTAACTGGAGGTGGACGGTCGTGAGCTTCCCCATGTAAGTACTAAGCACTCTTAACTGTTGAGCCATCTCTCCAGCTGGCATTTGAATGTTCTCGTGCGTTGGTTTCTTACTTTAAGCAGATACCCCTTGCAAACCTGTGTGGAGTGGTTGCACAGGACTCACAGCCACTACTCTGCTTCCAGTGGCAGCTGGCATTGCCCCGCGGGCCCCTGGGAGTGCTCGGGAGGCTTCCCTGCCTCCCGTTAGTCACTGGGTTCTGTAACACAAGAGCATTTCACTGGAAACGAAGCCTTGTACTTTTGGGGACATAGTGAGGTGTTTTCCTTGGTGTAAGGCCTAGACTTCCGTCTGAGATCCGGCAGTCTGTTGGGTTTCAGAAGGACGTAGTGACTCCTTTCACAAGTCAGCAGGGTCCATGCTACAGGGTGGGCACAGCAGCTCTGTTCCCTGTTGTCACGGGTCCAGAGTCCGTCCATTCATGTGGTGCACGTGGGCTTCATCCTGCATGAAATGTGAATTCCAGGTGCAGCCACTGGTTCTCCATGCTTATCGTGGCCCCTGGCTCACTGGAGTGTGCTGGGCCTGTGCATATTCATAGCTGGCCAGAATTCAGAAAATTTGGGATGTACAGGTTTCACGCTGTCCCTGGTATTTTTTATTGTTCTCTTTAGAGTTTCCTTGCACCTTGACAAAGGCAGAGTGACTTTCGCTGGTCCTCACAGGAGGGCAGAGGGTGGAGCATTCTAGGGCTTTCCTCCCCAGTGTTATGCAAAATAGTTTCAGTGCCTCCTGGGCTCCTCAACCAAGTCTAGGCAATTCAAAGCCATTTCAGAGTTCCTGAGAAAACAATACACATAAGGGATCAGACTGTAAGAGGTAGAAATGGCCACAAGACTCCATCTGTGGGTGATTTTTACACAGAAATAAGGCCAGCTGTGTCCAGGTAAGAACATCAGCTTAGCGAGGGGGTTGGGTCCTGCAAACTCCCCGCTGTGAGAGTTAGATGCCAGGGAGGGGCTGCATTGCACCATGACCTCCTTATAAGGTCTTTTGGACACATTTGTGTCTGTCATCTCTGCAGTAATTCAGCATATACCTGAATATATGCCAAGGTTGTGGGACTTTTAAGGTCCATTCCAGTATTACAGTTTTGACTTCTTTTGTTTCATTGTGGCAGCTTCAACATGGCGGACGATGACCCATATGGAACCGGGCAGGTAAGTCATCATTTCTCTAACGACTCTGTGCAAGTGTGCTTGTGTTCCAGATACACAGAGGCAGCACTAACGACTCAGTGGAGGGCAGACTCTAAATTAGTAAACTTTACTTGATTTTTTTCCAGTTTTTCTGTTCTTCCAGGATAGGAGAGGGTAGTTTCATATATATATTTTTGCATAAAATTGCATGTACACTGTGTATACAATGTACATTATATACAATGGCCAGGAGATAGCCACTGAGCCAGCTGTGCTGGCACCTGTCTGATTCCAGTATTCAATATGATGACCCTGTAAATAATCTTTTTTTTTTTTTTTTTTAAAAAAGATAGCCAGTGAGTGAGATTTTTTGGGGTTGCTATTAACATTGCTACAAACCTGGTGACTTGAAACAATAGGAATACATCTTTTTATAGGTCTGGAGGCAAGAACTCAAAATTGGGGGCTGGCAGGGCGGTTCCTGCCCCATACAGCTTCTGTGGGTGCTTAGAGATCCTTGGTACCCCTCGGCTGATAGCATCACCATCACACCAACTGTAGAGTCTGTTGTTGCTGACTTTCCTCCACTCTTTGGATTGAGGGCCCATCTCCTTCTAGTGTGAATTCACCTAGCTTATATAAAGGCAAAGGCTGCATTTCCAAATAAGGTCCCATGTAGCAGGAGCACTTAGAAATTTAAAGTGCATTTTTTTCCAAGGTGTAGTTAGACTCATCGCAGTCTGTGAGAAGGCAGGCACTCTGAGAGCGTCACGCTGTCTTCCTGCCATCACCGGGCTCATCATCAGTGTTAGCAGTTAGGACACAGGCCAGCTCTAGGGTATCTGTGTCCCCTTGTCCCCCCTCGCTTTCTCATGTGAAAAGCTCTAAACCCATAGAAATGAATCCATCTTGGTTATTGATATTCCGTTTCTTTCTCTACCCTCCATATAGAGAGCATAGAAATGAGCCTTGGAAGCAGTTTCTAGACACTGATGTGATTGCAGTGGCAATAGTAAATGTGGACTCTAATGATCTTTTAAATTATTTAAAGCTGGTGTCTGCTTGTTTTTTAGACTGTTCATTGAGACTTGATTATGTACAGACATTAGCATCCTAGAGATGGAGAGACCAGTGGTATATGGACTGACTTCAGGAGCTGCCTTCTAATTGGAGGAACAGAACCACACTTTGCATAGTCAGTGGATGCTGCCCTGGTTCCCTGAGGCACAGAAGCATTAAGAGGGATCTCCTTTTGCTTCTTTGGAGAAAGTGCAGGTTAAGGATCACTTTCCAAAGGAAGTCTAAGCTGAGTTTTAAAAGCTACAACCAGTACAGGGAACCTACTTAGAAGAGAACCCTGGCACAACATTTGATATTATTACACATTTAAATTTTGGTGGTAAACTTCTGAGACTACCGTTTCCCAAATTTATGCGTGCAAAGAATCAGCCAAAAATAAAACTGAAAGTGAAATATTTCTCGGGGATCTGGTGTTTTTACAATCAAACAGCCCTAGAGTAGTTGTGAGAACAAGATGGGCATCCCGTTCTCACCAGGCCAGGTAGAGTGAGCTTGTATTAGGTTTCATGTCACCGTTCCTTCCTGATTCTGTTGTGAAAATGGCGACATTGGATAGCTCTAGAACATTTTCCCTTTTGCAGCATAGATGACTCCTGGTGGCTCCTGTCATCAGCACCCTTTGTTTTACCTTTCACTTTTAATTGCTGCTTCTAACGAAGCCCAGATCTCACCAGCACGAGGGCTGCTTCTGCTTGGTTTCAAACCATGCTTTCCTGTCTATGCACAGGAAAATCTTATCAACCAGAGATGGTCTTTTATGCCACAAAATAGTAAAACCTGCTGAGGACAGTCATTTTGAAAGTTTCTTATGTGGCAGTTTTGAGCTGATCAGCAGCAGGGGTGGGCACATTCTAGCATTTCAACCGGGTGCGGTGAGAGGTCCTTGAAGGTTTTTTGTTTGTTTTCCTGTCTTGAGCTTTAAGATGGTAGTTTCTAAAGTTTGCCTTCTTCAGGGAAGTGTCCTCAGTGTCTGAGCATACACTGGAGTTGGTTCTCCACCCTTCACCAAATAAGCTCCGTGGGCTGCATGCAGTACAGCATGTCTTACTGGGAATTTTCCCTCAGTTCAGGCATTGCGGACACCTGCAGGACCATAGCACAGGAGTTCCTTTTGAGGTCATCCTTTTTGCTCAGAGATGATGGATACCCTGCGTGGCCTGAAACTTAATTTTGCAGGACGTAGTTTCCCATTCTGTATTTCTTTACTGACAGTCAAGAACGTGGAAGAGCTTTGCTAAGCATTGAAGAGTAGCCCATGTTTGCTCCTCCATTGAAAATTTGCGTCCCTCAAAACCGAATTTGAAGTGATTTTTATTAAAATGTCACATTTTAGGAGCCAGTGAGATTTTTCAGAGAATAAAGTACTTACTGACAACCTGAGTTTGACATCCCCCAAACACACACAGAAATGAATGTAACAAAAAAAAAGTTAAGCATTATTTTCTTACTCCTGATTTAAATAGATATACTAGGATCTGAGGTACCCAACTATATCCAGATTTACTAATAAGGATAAAAATACTTCCAGCTTGCCAGCTGACCAGAGAAGGTGAAATAAATACATTTGCTTTGTGTGTGGTGCACAAGCATTTCCCAAGTGACTTTTGAGAGTGAGAAAGACCATAAGCTCATGAATAAACATGTGAATTTCTAATGACGTGACTGGGGAAATGCCTTTTGGAACAATGGTTAGTAGTGACCTAACAAGATAGAGCTTAATACTATCAAAACATATTGTATGTCCATTCTTTCAGTTGTGTTAGTTGTGTGTTCTTCCTGTAACAAGTTACCATAATCTTACAATTTGAAACAACAGAAATACCTTCTCCTGTAGCGTAGAATAAGAATTCCAAAGGCAAGGAACTAACAGGTCTACGTTCCCAGCAACTGCTGTTTCTTTCCCTCCGAGCTCCTAAGGCTGCCTGTGTTCCCTGGATGAGTTTTCCCAGCGCTCCAGACTCTTGCCTCTACAGTCACACATCCCTTTGATTTCCAACTGTCCTAGGTAGCAAACCTGGATGTTCCAGGATAATCCTGTTGTTTAATAGTTTTACATCATTGTCACATGCAGTCTATCTTTTGCCATATGAAACATAGGTCCTGGGAAGTAGATTAGTTCTGGGGAGTAGCAGGTAGATGTCTTGGAGCCATTGTTCAGTGCACCACCCTCTACTGAATTCCAGGGAGTCTGTGTTGTAGTGGAAGAGCAGAGGTGGGGGAGGGGAGCGTGCACTCTCCCATCCTTTGCTCAGCTGCACAGTCAGTTTTGTAAGTTATGTAGCTGCTGTCTGTGACTCTTTCAGGCCTTGAAATTCTGTAGCTCAAGAAAGAATATATTTTTCATCAAAACAGAAACACAGATCTAAGATTATATGCATGTGTGTATGTGTCTGCCTGTATGCACCCACATGTTCCTGTGAGTGTACATGTGTGTTCACATGTGTGTGGAGACTGAAGGTCAATGCTGGCTGTCTTTCCCAATCGCTTCTCATCTTGTGTGTGGATTCAGCTCATGGATTCCGCTAGATATCTCAGCCAGCAAACCCGATCCTCTTGTCCACACTTCCCAGAAGTGGTGATGTAGACAAACTGCCATACCCAGCTATTCACATAGGAACTGGGGCTCTGACCTCTCTTCCTAATTCTTGTACAGGAAGCACTTTATCCCCTGGGTCCTCTCCACCCTCTGGGGTTAGACTCTTATTCCTAAGAGGGTGCAAGATTCAGATCACTCATTCAACAAATACTGATGAAGTACCCACCATGCCTGGAGCTCACTTGGCTCTGAAGATGCACTAGCTAGAAGGATCCACGAGGTCCCTGCCTTCGGAGACCTCAGAGCTCTTACTCTTCTTGAATTCCTTTTTTACATACGTAAGTTCTGCATGCAGCAGCCTAACCGGGTCTCAGAAAGCCATTTTAGAATCCTGATCTTAGGAATCCCGTTTTTAGGCTTTCGTTTCTAGTTTTCATTCTTGTAATTAGTTCTTCCTGTAAATTAGAAGAGGAATTAAAATCTTTGTATTTTCTTCTTTACAGATGTTTCATTTGAATTCTGCGTTGTCTCATCCAATATTTAACACAGAATTATATGCACCAGAAATGCCCCTGTCAACGGGTAAGACAAGTGGCATCCTTCTCCTGTTGTTTTGCTTTTCCCTTAAAAATAATATTTGGGGTCAGGAATCAAAGAGATGTGGACCAACCCAAACTCAGTACATATGAAAATACCATAAGGAAGCCTGTCACGCTGTGGATGCTGGGGATCAAACCCAGTTCCTCGGGAAGAGCCACAAATGCTCTTAACCACTGAACCGTCTCCGCAGCCACAATGCTCTCTTCAAATCCAGTGATGTTCACAGGAAGGAAGTGGTGATTTGTGTCTTCAAACCAGCCTTTCAGTATGCTTCCTGGAAATGCATTTCACAAAAGTGTTTCAGGGCACTCACACATTGTCTTCGCAGGTGTGGTTCTGGCATAGGCTAGATACTCCAGAGCACTGGCTTTCTCCACATTTGATTCCCCGTTTGTGTCCTCTTTGCTTTGCTGCAGCTACCACAGGACCAGTCTCAGCCCCTCAGTCTGTGTCTAGGGAACAGCTGTTGTGGTCAGCCAGGATGCCAGGCACTGGGGAAATAATCCGAAAGTCACCTTTATACCCCAACATGACTGTCAGTTAATGGACCCACACGTTGTTTAATGTCCTATGCGCAATAGCGCATGCTCTTCATTTAGACTCCTTGCTGATTGGCTGTGTAACCTTGGTGTGATGGCTCTTCTTTCTGCTTTGTTTCCGCCCTCACATCACATGTCGGAGTTAACCTGTCTCCCAAAGCAGCGTGTTTGTCAGTGGAGATTGTGTTTAAAAGAGCTGAGATCACTGAAGCAGACAGCAGGTGCTTCGTATAGTCTGGATTTCCATGTCTTCTATGGAGACCATATGTCCTTTTTTTTTTTTTTTAATCGTTCTCCTTTAAGACACCATGGTTGTGTCAGCACTTGCCTCTCACTGTCCAAATCAGAAAGTTTCTCCTTTTCCCTCTCCAGACACATGGGAGGAAGAAGAGCTCATATGCCCGACCTTCCTAACCCTCTCCAGCAGAAGTTACAACACAGAGGCCTGTCTGTCTTTACCCCACAAAACCTATTTCCTAAGCCACCGTCCTTTATGTGAGATGGTGAGCTGTCCAGTGTGCCCTCTGGGTCACTTCCTGTGAACAGTGAATGCAGCAGAGGCTTCTGGGTTTCCTGTGAATGTCTAGGCTCGGAGATCTGAAGTGTCTGCTTTAGTATGGCTGTTTGATTGAAAATGTTAAGGACGTGGTTTTGTTCTCAGGAAAAACACACATTTCTATAAAATGCCTCATGAGTTCTAAACAGTAACCTGAGGCAGATGATTTTTCAAATGTGTTTTCCTTTTCCTTAGGTTTATGGGCTCAGAAGTAAAATTAGTAAAAGAATTACCTCAGTAAATGTTCCTATCATGTTGTGGGAACCCTTTTCCATAGTGTTAGACAAACCTTTATAATTGTCTTTAAAAACGCATTCTTTCTGCTGTCACCAGCTCCTCTGTTTCCACTGGCATTTCCCCTCTCCCTCTCAGTGTGCTGTCCAGGTTCTATAGTCCAAGAGGGATAGGGCATTCTCTTCAGATTTTAAAGGAGTAGGAAGTTTATCTAATCAATATTTGATTGTATTTTCATGTGTATTTTTTTCAATCTTCTCAAATTCTTAAAATCTCAAACAGTCTTTCCAACTGTGTGGGAAACTCTGGAGCAAGGGACAGCTGTTAGGTCTGTGTCTTTTTCTGTGATTTAAACTTTCTCTGTAAAACAGGAGATCATTTTCCTGGCCCAGAAATGTAACCAATAAAAAGTTAGCCTTAACACAAACACAAACATAACACAAACATTGATGTAGCCAATCTAACATTCTACTTGACTTAACTTGAATGTGCTCTTAGGGTAAGAACGGTACACTCCACGTGGACTTCCACATATGTAAGGCAAGTCCTAGAAACAATGGAAGGAAGGGCTTGACGCCCATTATGAGGGTGCTCCCTACACATCCATACTTCTCAGCATCCTGTCCAAATAGGGCTTTCTTCATGGTCTAGCTTCTTGGTAAGCTCTTTCAGATGTCTAGAGGAAATGTATATTTTTAATATTGTTATACAAGCTATATGTCATTTATAGCATGAAATCTTTCTAATCAGTTTTATTTCCTTAGAGAAAGTTAAATTCTAGCCATTTTCTTTTTGATAGTTAAAATTACAGTTACTTTTCTAAAAGTTTAAAATGTCAAGGAATGTATCTCATCAGACAGAAAAATGTAATTTGCTATTTTACTGTATTGGCCAGTGATACCCATTTGCCTTTCTTGTTTTCTTCAAATTTGGTCCTGACTGCCTTCCTTGTGCAGTTTTAGTCTTGTGTCATCTGATCCATCATAATATTGAGAAGATAGTATATATTATCTTTGAAGTTACCGTTTATTTAAGATTACAACTTCAAGTTTTATCTCTTCCCCAATTTATTTATGCAAAATATGCCGTAAGCTTCAGCTGAGAGTGTGAGTTCTCAAATGAGCACAGAAGCATTCTTCTAGAATATCTTCAACCTCCAAAGTCTTAATTTTCATTCAAGCGCATACAAAAACATTCAATTTATTTGCAGGTTGCACAGCTATGGGTTCTCATACTGTGACATAAAAGCCAGCTGAGGTCCTGAGGGAATTTCTCATCATAGCATTTATATTTATATAGAAGATGTGGTTTTTCTTTGACATTTCAAGTCATATATCACTGGGATAGGGATTAAGCCTTTAGTCTTTTTCATAGTAATTGCATGAATTTATCTTTAATGACATTACTTTTGGTATTTTACCGTATGCCTGGGCTGTTTTATAACAGTCCATATGAGAGCACAGTGGTCAGGTTTTTTTATATCAGTATCGAAAGGTATGGATAAGATGCCAGGCATCATGGTGCATATTTTTAATCCTGGCACTTGGCAGGAAGATCTCTGTGAGCTTGGGGCTAGCTTGGTCTACATAACAAGCTTCAGGCCTGTCAAGGCTACATGGTGAGACTCTGTCTCAAACAAAACAAAAAAAAAAAGTCATGGATAAGAAAGAAAAGTTCTCTGGGTTTCACAGAGGCCCAGAGTAAGCCAGTTAAGCAATGGAGACAGCACCTCAGTTCAGGTTAGGGAACGAACGGAAAGTCGGTAGCAGTGTTAGGAAAGGCCGGTGACCCAGAAACACCCTGGACTCCTCCTGTAGGTTGCTGTTTCCAGCTCTTTGCTTCACACTGCGCAGGTGCTTTGAGGAAGGAGGGTTGTCATCCACTGATGAAAGGCAGCTGGAAATGCTGTGGCACTCAGAGGGGTGGTGTACTTGATGCGTTAGTGTTCTAGCACGCGATGCGTTAGTGTTCTAGCACGTGATGTTAGTGTTCTAGCACGCGATGGTTAGTGTTCTAGCACGCAATGGTTAGTGTTCTAGCACGCGATGCATTAGTGTTCTAGCACGCGATGTTAGTGTTCTAGAACGCGATGAGTTAGTGTTCTAGCACGCGATGTGTTAGTGTTCTAGCACACGATGTGTTAGTGTTCTAGCACGCAGTGTGTTAGTGTTCTAGCACGCGATGGTAGTGTTCTAGCACGCGATGTTAGTGTTCTAGCACGCGATGGTTAGTGTTCTAGCACGCGATGCGTTAGTGTTCTAGCACGCAATGCGTTAGTATTCTAGCACGCGATGGTTAGTGTTCTAGCACGCAATGCGTTAGTGTTCTAGCACGCAATGTTAGTGTTCTAGAACGCGATGAGTTAGTGTTCTAGCACGCGATGTGTTAGTGTTCTAGCACGCAGTGCGTTAGTGTTCTAGCACGCGATGTTAGTGTTCTAGAACGCGATGAGTTAGTGTTCTAGCACGCGATGTGTTAGTGTTCTAGCACGCAGTGCATTAGTGTTCTAGCACGCGATGCGTTAGTGTTCTAGCACGCGATGTTAGTGTTCTAGAACGCGATGAGTTAGTGTTCTAGCACGCGATGTGTTAGTGTTCTAGCACACGATGTGTTAGTGTTCTAGCACACAGCGCGTTAGTGCTCTAGCACGCGATGCTCTAGTGTTCTAGCACGCGATGTTAGTGTTCTAGCACGCGATGCGTTAGTGTTCTAGCACGCGATGCGTTAGTGTTCTAGCACGCGATGTGTTAGTGTTCTAGCACGCGATGCGTTAGTGTTCTAGCATGCAGTGCGTTAGTGTTCTAGCACGCAGTGCGTTAGTGTTCTAGCACGCGATGCTAGTGTTCTGGCACGCGATGCATTAGTGTTCTAGCACGCGATGCGTTAGTGTTCTAGCACGCGATGTTAGTGTTCTAGCGCGCGATGCGTTAGTGTTCTAGCACGCAATGTTAGTGTTCTAGCGCGCGATGCGTTAGTGTTCTAGCACGCAATGTTAGTGTTCTAGCACGCGATGTTAGTGTTCTAGCACGCGATGCGTTAGTGTTCTAGCACGCGATGTTAGTGTTCTAGCACGCGATGTTAGTGTTCTAGCACGCGATGTTAGTGTTCTAGCGCGCGATGCGTTAGTGTTCTAGCGCGCGATGGTTAGTGTTCTAGCGCGCGATGGTTAGTGTTCTAGCGTGCGATGCGTTAGTGTTCTAGCACGCGATGTTAGTGTTCTAGCACGCGATGTTAGTGTTCTAGCGCGCGATGCGTTAGTGTTCTAGCGCGCGATGCGTTAGTGTTCTAGCACGTGAGGCGTTAGTGTTCTAGCACGCGATGCGTTAGTGTTCTAGCACGCGATGTTAGTGTTCTAGCACGCGATGTTAGTGTTCTAGCACGTGAGGCGTTAGTGTTCTAGCACGCGATGCGTTAGTGTTCTAGCACACGATGCGTTAGTGTTCTAGCATGCGATGTTAGTGTTCTAGCACGCGTGCCGACAGATGAGGCTGGAGCTGCTGCGACTGAAATTTGCCAGCCGTCCAGCTGCGTACCGTCACCACCCCCTCACCAAAAAGCCATATTTATTGTTTTTCACTTAAACTCCTGTTAAAATAAACTGAACCTGAATTCTGGAGCAATTGTCAACAGTTTACAGTGTTCATTGCTCTTCCTGAGGACCCAAGCTTGGCTCCCAGCACCACATGGCAGCTAACAGTCATCTGTAACTCCAGCTCCAGGGCATCAGACATTCTTCTGGCTTACTTGAGCACCAAGCAAAACACTCAGATACAAAAAATAAAGCAAATAAATACCTTTAAAGATGAGAATATATTTAATATATCAAATGTAGGATCTCACTGATAAAAATGATTTGAAACATAATTTCAGCTTTTGACTTGCTTTGTATTTCATACCAGGTTCTAGAAGTCTCACAGTTTCTTTTGGTTTTCCCTTGTTGTGTTTGTTTTTAACAGATGGCCCATACCTTCAAATATTAGAGCAACCAAAACAGGTAAGAATAAAGGGGTAGGCTGTTTGATAATGTTAGGTCTCTACATCTAATATTAAGGCTCGGGCATTGAATAACAGTTACTAATCTGGTAACAGAGGTGGTTTATCTGGATGAGCAACAGATGGCCATGTTATATAATAACTTCCTATGTCTACTTCACATTTTTCTTACGTAATCTCCAAAAGGCCTTGAAACTCCAGTTAATCATGGGTCTTGGTAGTCTGTATCTCTTTCACCTAGCTTATCAGTAACTTCCATGGAAAGCACCGGTGGTTTTCATTCCTAAGGAAACAACTCTCACTGGTCACATCTCACCTTTACTGCTCATGTCCATGCCCACAGGATGCTTCTCCTGCCTTCATAAGCTCCAGACTCTTTGTGTGTGGAATGTGTAACCCAAGGCACGAAAAGCACTAGTGGGAGACGATTAGAATGGACTACGGAGTCCCCACCACACATCCCATTGAGTCTGGAGCAAGGAGAGGACTGCGTGTGTGTGTGTGTGTGTGTGTGTGTGTATGTGGTGTGTGTGTGTGTATGTGGTGTGTGTGTGTGTGTGGTGTGTGTGATGTGTGTGTATGTGGTGTGTGTGTGTGTATGTGGTGTGTGTGTGTGTGGTATGTGTGTGTATGTGGTGTGTGTGTGTGTGTGCGTGCGTGTATGTGGTGTGTGTGTGGTGTGTGTATATGTGGTGTGTGTGTGGTATGTGTGTGTATGTGGTGTGTGTGTGTGTGTATGTGGTGTGTGTATGTTGTGTGTGTGTATGTGGTGTGTGTATGTGTGTGTGGTACGTGTGTGTGTGTATGTGTGTGTGGTACGTGTGTGTGTGTGTGTGTGTACGCGTGCACGTGTGTGTGCATAAGCATGTCTATGGAGATGAAAACTTTTGGGAGTTGGTGCCCTCCTACTATGTGGGTTCTGGAGATCAAACTCACACAAAGCTTGGTGGCAAGCACCTTACCCACTGAGCAATCTTGCCAACCCCAGAACCTTACTTTTCTGAGCATAGCCCAATGATAAGACTTTTAATGTGCATTTTGTTACCATGAACCCCAAAGGAATTGGTATTTATGATTTGTTTGAAGAGCTAATATAGTTCCAGAATTCAAATTTTAATTCATTATGTGTGAATATATAAAATGTGAGTAAACATTGTATCTGTTTGCCACCCTGGTTTTTGTTTTTGGTTTTGTCTTGAGATCTAGCTTCAGTGGAAGTTAGGAGGTTGTATCTCAGTCAGACTTTTGACTACATGGATGTATCCTCTCTGAGGTTAATGCCTCATCTTAAGTAAATGGGGTTCCTAAGATCAATATGGGTTGATAGTAAACATTTAATTTTAACTAGAAATTCATTCATATTACATATTTTAAGACATCTTATTTTTAGTTTTTTGTTCAATTTTAAAAATTAATTTATTTTTGAGACAACAACACTGTAGTCTTTGCTGACTTCAAATTGGTGGCAATTCCCCTGCCTCGACCTTGCAGCTGTTAAGATTACAGATGTGAGCCACCACACCCAACTCAAAATCATCTTACCAACCTAACAGAGCAATATAAAGTTCCGTCTTTAGAATAAGTGCCACTTTGTGTGCATCTAGGAATGCTACATAGTTTCACGAGCTGACGGTTCACATCACGACTGAACCACGCTGATTGCCGTGTCAGGCGTCACGCTCTCTAAGGTATGGCAGTGTCCATGCACGTACTTTTTCAGGGCCACAAAGGAATTTTGTGATTCAAGATAAGGAGCTGCTGTGTTAACTTTTTGAGTTAGAAATGCCCTTTTTCTTGGGGGCCTTTTGGACACAGAGTTTTTTCCTAGGTTGGATGGAAATGGATCAAAGCATGATTGGTATTCTTCAGACTATCCAGTTTGTACAGTTCTTGGTGCTAACTGTCTAATCATGTTGTTTTGTATCTCACTGTGCTTTTGAGGCTGGGTCTTGTAGCCTTGTGGCCTCAGACTCACAGACCTCCACACACATGCCTCTGTCTCCCAAGTGGTGGCTTAAAGATGTGTACTACCTAGTAGAATTTTAAACTGGAGGTGTGTTTGGATTCTCTCAGTTAGTGGGTCTCCATCTTAGGGTTGGCCAGTTTGCAGTAGCCAGGAGCCAGCAGTTACACACGCCCCTGTCTAGTTTAGAGTCATTAAGTTCAAGTGTTATCCATGCTGGATCCCAATGACATTAATATTCACAAAACTAATCATCTTTTTCTTCCAAGTCTGAGAAGACTGTCCCATTGACAATGTTGTAGCCCACGGGCCATGTGTTACTCCGAAGCACTTTGTTTTAAAAGCCACGCCTGCAGCCTGCCCCAGTTCTGCTGTAATTGAGCAGATAAAGGAACTACTTCAAGTAATTAGCATAGCTGTTACTGACTAAAGGTGGAGTGGAGAGCTTGGCAGTGGCAGTTTGAGCTGAGAAGGCTGCTTTGAGACAAGAGTAGCAGCACATTGTGTCCACAGCCTTAAACTCTCCATCACCCCGTCTCCGCAGAAGATGGTGCTGAAGATGGGTGCCTGGCTTCTCCAACCCAGCTTAGTACACAAACACCAGCTGGCATCATGTTCATAATAGCTTCTGGAGAGTAGCTTTCATCTTCATAGTGGTCTTCTATAATTACATGTTTAGAATCGTGTGTGTAATGTTGTCGTTGTTTTTAGTAATTCCTGCTTGTGTTCACCTCCACAGAGGGGATTTCGATTCCGCTATGTGTGTGAAGGCCCATCACATGGCGGGCTCCCTGGTGCCTCTAGTGAGAAGAACAAGAAATCCTACCCTCAGGTCAAAGTAAGTCTGGAGTCCACCACTCTGACTGCCTAGGGGCAGAGCCAGGGAATGCTGCAAATAAGTGTGAATGAATAGGATGCTCGTTTGCCCTAAGCAGAAGTGTTTACGTGGTTATTAGAATTTTTAAATAGAAATTCATCTCATGGAAATGACAAACTTTCAATCACCATTAACATCTCCATTTAATTGAAATGGCGCCAACATCAACTAAGGAAAACTCACTGCCTCTCCAGCGATCTTAAAGCTGCCTTTTCAAATCTTGAAGTCTTTAAATTCTATACCCTCTGTGATGCTTTAGTAAAACTTTGAGCCAGGTGCCATGGTGTGTACCAGTAGTCAGTCCTAGGACCTGGGATGGAAGGGGCTGGAGTAGCAGGTGTTCAAGGCCAATCTCAGCTAGAAAGTTTGAGGTCAACCTGGCCTATGTGAGACCGTGTCTTTAAGAAAACCAAACAAACAAAATGTCTTCACAACAAGTTCCAAATGCTGGGTTTATAAAGATTTCATGACAAAACAGTTGACAGACTATATAGTCATAGAGTATATTATTTTAGGTCATAAATCCAGACCCTAAGTGATGAGCTGAATGGGTTTCAAACAAACTTCCAACTGCCCGACATAAATGCCTGAATACTGCTAGTATAGAGCTCATGAGGTGTTTTAGAGTTTAAATGAGGAACTATGCTTAGGTACACCATAGAGATCCTGACAGGGACCCTGTGCAGCCACTCAGAAGGAGTTCTGTAGCATGTGGAATGGGGGTGAGGTTAGATGCAATTTCTCAGTCTTTAGCTTCTTACATTGGTGATATAATTGAGAATATTTTTCTCTAGTTCTGAATTGTTTTGTTTTTCGAGACAGGGTTTCTCTGTGTAGCTTTGGATGAGTTTTTTATTTTACTAATTCATTGCCATATTTCAGAGACTGGTAATGCTTTTGCGGGGAAACAAAAAATTGCAATTGAGTCAATTAGTCATTTATTCAGTAATTCAAGCTTAGACTCACAGTTACCAGAAGTAAGAGTTGCCACTTCAGCCTCTGGCTACCTGCTAGCATTTGTAAACTCAGTTTCTGACACTGGGAAATTGATCTTTGATTTTGCCACCCTAATAGTTTGTTCCTCCTTTTCATACCCTGCTTCCCAGCCCAGACTTTCCTAGTCTCTTACTGTGTGTCTAAAATAAAGAGCCACCTCATTTTTTATCTTTCCTTTGAAGCTCAACTCCTAGCCTGGATTCTATGAGTCACGTTTTCATTTTAAGACTCTTGGCTGTAGTTGGGGAATGAAAGGTATTTTTCTTAGTAAAGGTAATTGGATATAGAAGTGCAATGTTTTTAGTTTGCAAAGGCCACAGTTATATTAGACAGTGTTTTTTTTTTTTAGAGAAATAGAACCAATAGGATAGAGGTGAGTGGATAGATGATTGATTGATTGATTGATTGATAGGAAGGTAGATAGATGATAGAATCGGCTGTTCTATCATGAAAGATAAGAAGTCCTACTGTGGGGTGCCTCTAATATGTACCCCAGAATGCTGGTAATATTTCAAGCACAGAAGTCTGAGCACCAGGTGGCTGCTGGGACTCTGAGTGTAGGACCAGCGGCCTAAGATCCTGGGAGTGCTAATGCTAGGGTAAGCCTGGCAGTGTAGGGAAGCCTGGAGTTCTGATACCCTGGGAGTGCAGGGGGCAAAAATGGGGAGTGCCCCACATTCTACTGGGGCAGAGGAAGGAGGAGGAAGAGGAATGGAGAAACTATTCTCCCTGGCTTTTCCTTTTAAGGGGTTTCTCCCTGACTGGATGCGTCTGTCCACAGAGAGGGTAGATCTTCCTTCCTCAGTCCAGCACACTTGCCAGTCTCCTCTGGAAATGTGCAGACGCCAGGGCAGGAAAATGCTTTTCCAGCTTCTACATTGTCCTCTGTAGTTGACTCACATCTACAGTTATCCCTGAGGACAGTCTGTGGCTTCCAGTCCTTTAGGAGCTGGGCGAGGAAAGCAGAACAGATCACCAGGAAAGAGAATCAATGCTTTCTTCAACATTAGTGATTTAGCATGTGTTTTCATCTATTACATACTCTTGTGATATTTATTAGCGCTGAAAAACTGGAGCTCAGAGTTAGGGCTAGGGCCTCTTTCCCTGCAGCGAGTATGCGTTGCGGGGGGGGGGGGGGGGGCAGGAGCTTACCGACAAGACCTAGAGAAGTGTGGTAAACTAAGTCAGGGAGGATGAGAATTCTGGACAGCAAAGAAGAAACAGGCAGAGGGAATCTGAAGTCAGATCTTGGACTTTCCACCTGTCTCTGTGTGTCATATGTGAATATTGTACACATTTATGTGTCCGTGTTTGCGACAGGTAACTGAGCGTCACTTGTCAGCACTGACGCTGATGATGACCACTAAAGAACTAAGGTTAGAAGAAACTTTAGGGGTTCTGTGTGGGCCCTATGAAAGAAGTGTAAGTTGTGATCCTCTCGTGTACTCTTTACTTGAGTGGGGCTGGAATTTTGGGGCCCACTATCGTGAAAACGGGAGCATCTGTAGAACGCTGCCGGGTAGGATCATACTGTTACCTCACATCCCTCCCATCATCCGTCCCCCGAGGTGGACGCCTGCACTCACTGAGAGAAATGACGCTTCCGTAGCCTTGCAGTGCAAGGTCTGTGATCTGTAGGACGTACATTTGTTCAGGCTTACGAGTAAGGTGGCTGGGCTCAGCTCTTTCCTCACCCTCATCCCCAGCCTCTGTCTCTGAACTCAGGCCCTGTTGCCCTGCCTCTTCCAGCACCCCCACCCTGCTGTCCCTGGAAGGCTGGCGGTTGATGTGCTGTGAAGATGGCAGTGAGGGTTTAAGGGCTATTGAAAGCTTTGGGGACTGGTCATGACTTGGGACTCCGGGAATCCGGCTGTTCTTATGGAGCTTGTAAAGGCCCATCTTGTTGACTGTTCAGATTGGAGCCTCCCGTTGGCTTTCACACTAACTCGAGGGCGCTCCCAAAGCGCGTCCTGTTAGAAGAGCTTAGAACTGTGGCAGATGACTGGGGTGCAAGCTGGGCTCAGACGCCTCTCACTGTGGCGCAGTCTTCACGTGCCTTTTCCGCTCTTGATGAGCTGCTCTGGGATTACTTACTCCTGCGTCCTCATGGCTGTGGTTAGCTTTCTCTCCAGACTGAAGCATTCCTTTCACCACCTGTGGTAGCGCTGGGTTGGATTGGGGAATATTCTTTTTTTTTTTAAGCCAATTACTTCACGTTACAAAATGTTTCAAGCATACAAAATTTAAAATGTTATGTAGCAAATACCATATACCAAAACATAAATGTAAAAGATAGTACTATTTTGCCTATTTGCTGTTTGCGTATGCCTTTCTCTGGGTCTCTTTCTCCCTCTCTCTGTGAACTGCAGCGTAGCTATGGTAGAAGCCCCGCCCAGTCACTGCTTTGTCCTCCTGCCGTCCACATAGAGAAACCATTCTTCCGCATGGCCTTTCTCTGAGACGGCTTTATATTTTACCACATAGGTATACATTCATAACTAAAATCACTTTCAAGAAAACTACTTTTTACTAGCTTTAACCCAAAGTTTTTATTATATATGATGGCTCCTCCTTTTCAAACTAAACAAGGGTTAAGACTGACCTGCCTGAAGATTAACACTGATCACTTTGATCCTGTCTGTTCCTTTTTACCAAAGTCTGAATAAAAATGTCTTCAAAAACAGTACAGAATTTACACTGAGCCTCAAAGCAAAAAAGAAAAGAAAAGAAAAAAATCATATTCAGGGGGAAAGCTAGGGAAAATAAATATGCAAAGTTTAAGGAAGTTTTCTGCTTTTTAAAGACTGAGTAATCCATTGTCTGTCCTAAAGCCCTGCCTTGGGAGTTTGCTGGGCTCTGATTTCATTGGCGGCTCCTGAGAGGCAGCAGAGCAGGGGAGGCAGCAGAGCTTCTTCTGGACCAAGCCTGTCACTGCCTGTTCCTGACTCAGCAAGGAGTGCCAGGGAAGGCTCACTGCCATCCTTTTCCCGAAAGTGCTGCAGAAAAATTTTAAATCAAAGTGCCTTCCTCGAGCAGATGGAACAAGGCCAAGAGAAGCAGCTACAGGCGGCCTCGGGAGCGCTGCTGCGGCCCACCAGCAGTGGCTCTGGGTCCTTCTGCGCTGGCCACCCTGTGCAGATTGCACATCGGCATCAGTGTCCTTCCTTTGTAGACTACGATCTATTTGTAATCATCAAACACCAGAGCTTGAAACATCGCGGTGCCAGTATGACTGTTGCCATCCCCTTTTGGGCAGCTACTCCACTGCCCTTCCTTCTGGGGTTTTCTGTGCAGGGAAAGGGTGTCCAGGAATGTTTCGGTTAACAACAGCTTTGGCCCCTTCCTCCCCCCACTGTAAAGTCTGCTCTCTTAAGTGCCTCTCACTTCAGAATCCTTAATGTTAAGTTTCTGTCAAGATTAATACAGCCTGGGGATCTGCAGTGTGCTTTAGGATATCACATGTCTTTGCATAAGCTCCTTTTCTTTGCACAGGCATGTCTGAATCCGGAGGCTTGCCATCCTAAAGATCTAGCTGGAATACTAATTTTGAATAATTTAGTCTGATACAGTTACCTAACCTGCCAGGGGGAAAGATCACTATAACCGATGGGCATGCATTCAGAACCTAGGTCGTAGCATTTTTTTAGGGTGTCCATTGGCACTCCTGATTTGTTTGCTGTGCTCAAAGAAAAGAGTCACATTCCTAGAGATATGCACCCTGTGCTTTGTAACACACACACACAAACTTTATTGAAACAAGGGCTTTCTTTATAACTCAAGGTCCATGGATCCTTTCATGGTTTTGGAAAGGTTTGGGACTTGTGAGTTTACACATAGAATTTTATGTAAATTCATGTAGATTTTTAAAACCTTGGATATGTATAAGAATAATGCTGAAGGTATTTGTAGCACGAATTCTAATTGGTTTTAATCATAAAAGCCCTGAGTCAGATATAGGGGTAAAT